TGTTCTCTACCTAAACGCTCTTGTTTCGCGAGTGTACACGATGCTTTTGTTAGTAGTTTATTAATTAAAGACATCAATTAAAACGTTCTCTAGCTAAACGCTCTTATTTCGCGAGTGTACACGATGCTTTTGTTAGTAGTTTATTAATTAAAGACATTGACTAAATACGTTGTCTAGCTAAACGCTCTTATTTCGCGAGTGTACACGATGCTTTTGTTAGTAGCTTATTAATTAAAGACATTGACTAAATACGTTCTCTAGGTAAACGCTCTTGTTTCGCGAGTGTACACGATGTTTTTGTTAGTAACTTATTAATTAAAGACATTGACTAAAATCGTTCTCTAGGTAAACGCTCTTATTTCGCGAGTGCACACAATGCTTTAATTGATTAATAATATTTCGTTACGTTTGTTGTAGTTGCTTTTATTTCGCGTTACCTTTTGAAGGAAACGATAGAAATGTAACAAACGCTTCGTTACTGAGGTCCCTGATGCTAACCAAAAGAAAGGCAAACATACGGATATACATGTCGTTTCCATGTAGCAGTTACTAAATTAAGCCTGCACACACACATTCAGATATGTATATACGAAAAGCTGCTTACTAATATGGAAGCTGTTTTTTTTTTACAGAAAGACAGATAGGTCTGTGTGAAATATTTCTTCGCTAACAGCTGCACTATTTAAACTGGCGCGACTGACAAAATGAATTAGTTTCAAATGCGCTAAGTTCTGTACATCTTTGTCGAGAGACAGTATTGTAATATTCTGGGTGTAATGTGCTATCTGAAGTCTGCAGACGAATAGGTACTCGCTACTTATTCCGTCTATCTGTCTATCTTTCGTTATTAGCTTTAAATGACTTCCTCAGTTATAGAGTAGCTTATTAGAACTTATGTTAGAAGTTTTTTTGCCATTCATTCAATCTGCATTTCTCTAAGGCAGCACGTATAGTATTGTTTGTTATGTATCTATTACAAACAAGAAAATAGAAACACACACGTACACGACGCAGTGAGTTCCATTTTTTTTTTCTAAAACAATGTTCAGTATCGTTTATGTTCCGCTACATTTTGCGTGCCATCTTTCTCTGAATGTCTGATTCTGAATTACACTACACTATGGATATTTATAATTAAATGTGAAACTGCTATTGTAAAAAATTGCGTATGGTTTAGAAAAAAGTTTATTTGTTTCGGACATTCGCTCATAGCTACCCATACGCTGGCACATCCTAGTTTTAAACCGAGGAAAAAGCATCTCGTCGGCAACATCCACCGCCAACTCTTTGGGGTACTCTAACCGAAACGTGGTATTTGATCGTTTCTCTTATAACGCGCCTACGGCCCCCCAAAGTGCGGAGAACGATTTTGCTGCAACGAGACGCGAATCATAGATCTTCGGATTTACAGTCCGGTATGCTAAACACTAAACCACGCTCGGCCCATTCATATGAAATGAGAGTAAATATCGCATAGAATTATACATTGTCAGTACTTAAGGCTTCGTAACAACAACCTCATGATGTGTGTACGTATGTGAGTAATACGGAAATATTTGCTTCTCTTTGTCTTATTTTTACACTCCACAAGCGCCAGAAGGGTGGTGATATTGAAGACATTGTCCTAAAACAAACTGTTGTCGGCAGGAAATCGTAGCCCCCCCATACTCGCGGGTTCGGACCACCTGGCCGATATTTCCGCTAGCGAATATTGGAGCAACCATCGGAGGATCCCTTGTTGTAGCCTCACGTGGCTCATTGTGTCCGTGCAGCTGCCGCGGCTAGCGCTCGAAACGCAGGTGTTTCAACAGTGTGTGTGTGTGACGTCTCTGTTATACGAAGATGACGTAGCAGACATGGAAACAGAGCCAGCACGAGACCACGTGCCCGAGTAAAGCATCTGCTGTGTTCTAGTGTGGTTAACAATCGAAGAACACTTCCTTCTCTTAGGACGAGGAAGTACGAGAGCGATTCTAAAAGCAAGGGTTGCAATCGTCTACTACGTACCAGAATAGAGATGACAGTGACATGAAACAGACCTTTACTCGAAGTTCTTGGGCTAAATGTGGTTCTTGTTAAACACGCTTTTAGTAATTTGAGCTAATTGAAAAAGCTCCGAAAGTGGGTGCCAGGACGTACATGTGGTCGAGAGTAAGTTGCATGAAGCACTGCTTACTCGAGCTAAGGTTAGATGAACTTTTTGTTTCTTCCTTCCTACGTATCTTATCCTCACTACGACCCATACATGGCTTTCTCCAGAGGAGGATTGCTGGGTAAGTCGTATATTATGTTGAATTATAATTAATCATGTTATACAAAACGACAAGAAGAAGCCCGAATTTAAATAAAAAGGCGAAATAAGCGCATAACCACTGGAGCTTGGTCTTCGTGTTATACATAATAATAATAGCACTGTTATTTACTCCTACGAGTTTCGACAGTGTTCAAGAGCACGTGTAAAAAAAAGTAACTTAAATTTCATAACTGCATACTATCAGTTTAAGCTTCTATCAACAAAATGTTATACCCCGCTTATAATGTCGTTGTATAGGTCACTGGTTAGGCCCCGTTTGGAGTACAGTGTTTATTTAGTCTTGGGCTCCTTACATTAGAAAAGACATTGACTTTTTGGAAAGGAGGTTAACTAGGATGATACCTGGGATGGAAAGATTGTCAATTATTTGCTCTTGAATAAAAAAGAGAAGAGTTAGAGGAGATTCGATGTTTAAGATTGTTAAATGATAGTGTTGATGACTCGTCATTTTTTCGTATTTAATGGTGATAATGGTAAAACTACGGGACACTAATATAAATTTTCATCTTCAGCTAAAAGAGCTTTATTTTTCTAATAGGGTGGTTGGCCTTTAGAATGGATTGCTTTCAAATGTGGTGGAAAACAAAAAGTGAAGAAAACTTATACCACAAAAAATGGCTAATGTTAAATAGGTATTTTAATGTTCACAACGTTTCGGGATGGGACGCTCTTCCTCTGGTGTTTTGGAATTTTCTTCGTGGATGTAGTTAATTTAAGGGAGTTTAAGGGAAGGCTTGATAAATACTTGAATGATAAAGGCTGGATTTGTATGGTTTGGATGGGATAGTCAACATGTCTGTTGTTGTTCTTAAATTTTATTTAACTTTTAAACCAAGCAGTATTGAATCAGCGGTTCTATCAAATGTCAGATATTTAAAACGTTTGCAAAATTACGTGCATTCAAACACTTCTCAAACTATCTATCCCCCTTAAAACCTATTATTAACTAGCTAGCACAAATATAACAAACAGATGAGATCATCCACTGGTTGTTATGCCCTTTTTCGAGATTATAGGAGGTTTAAAATATCGAAGAATATCGTTGCTAGGGGATCAGTCTAAAGGTTTCACTCATCTGGCCATATCTCTTCAGGTGACCTAATTTGTCACTGTAAGTTTGTTTGCTTGTTTGAAGTTAAGCATAAAGTTACACAATGGGCTATCTGTGCTCTGCCCACCATGGGTATCGAAACCAGGTTTCTAGCGTTGTCAGTCTGCAGACATCCCTCTGTGCCACTAGAGGGCGTTAGTGGTCCTGCTACGTACGTTATTACAATTATTAATATAACAGCATTTTTTTTAGGCTTTCTAAAGACTAAATTACCAAAACAGTGTAAACGGAACACGAACTAAATTTTTACAATCACATTATTTACCATGTTCCCATTAGATTTCTTACCATTTATAGCCCGCGAATATCGCATAAGATCCATGTTCATATTAGATTTCTTACCATTTATAGCCCGCGAATATCGCATAAGATCCATGTTTCCATTAGATTTCTTGCCATTTATTGCCCGCGAATATCGCATAAGATCCATGTTTATATTAGATTTCTTACTACTTATTGCACACAAATATCGCATAAGATCCATGTTTTCATTAGATTTCTTACCATTTATAGCCCGCGAATATCGCATAAGATCCATGTTCCCATTAGATTTCTTACCATTCATTGCCCGCGAATATCGCATAAGATCCATGTTCCCATTAGATTTCTTACCACTTATTGCCCGCGAATATCGTGTAAGATAATAGAGTAGGGTAAATATTTTAAATAACAGTATATTTATATATCGTCATTATTTACAACGATAGAGATCTAAATAAAATTAGTTTATGTTAGCTTATGTATTTATTTCATCGCTATTGATGATGAAATTATTCTAAGTATTTTGTAATCGGTATTGGCTGGATCCTTGAAGATGTAGCCCAGGATCCTAATAACTGGGCTATCGATCTATTCTAAAGCTTACTTCCAAATTCTTTTGCTTCTCCTTAATAAGTAAAATCGTCTAGAACTTGTCAGACTCATTCGATGATCAAAAGGATTAATTTAATAATATTTTGTTTTGACGACATACATAATTATCATTAGTTATCTATCCATAAGTCACATAAGAATCAAAAATGGCCTACGAACGCAATTTCTGTTTTAACAACAACATTCAAAAAGGATTTATTCTCCTGTCAGTTTCATTCTTTAGAAACTCATATTAAATACGCTTTTTTTAAACATTTATTGTAAAGCTTGTCTTTAGTAAAGTACCATCCGATTACTTCTCTAAGATTTGTACATATTAAAAGGTTTGGTTTAAACTGTACTTTGCTGGATGTTTAGACAAACAATATTTTTTTTTCACAGCACTTCCTTATCGAAAGCCATGAAGTTTTACAATAAGCACATCAGTATTAGTAATCAACGACTTTGTAACGCCAAAATGTTGTTTTTATTTAATTAAACACTCAACGTTTCGCTTTACAGCTTCTTCAGGAGCGTTCACTAAACTGACAGTACAAAGACTTTAAAAAAAACAAAAACTTTGTACTGTCAGTTTCGGTTTGTGTTTTAGTGAACGCCCCTGAAAAAGCTGTTAACGAAACGTTGAGTGTTGAATTAAATAAAAGCAACATTTTGGTGTTACAGTGTCGTTTATTTCTAGTATTAATGTCTTCTATACACCAATATGCACTACAGAAATTAAATAATAAGCACATCAGCTGACGTATATGAATATATGAAGGTTGAAATAAAGTGAAACGTAAATTCTAAACACTATTATTACAGTCTTATGGGTGTCGTTTTTTTTCTGTAAACTGATTTGTTCGTGAAATTCAAATTGATCTTGATTGTCAGCTTCGAACAGCCACCACTCAGCTTATTTGTTCTTAACCGTTAGAAATGCCCAATTTCAACTCAGATTTTGGTATGTTTCGCTATAAGTACACATCTTAGTCTGATCGGAAGTTAATTTTAACGCGTTAAAGATTTATAGGATTTAATTAAACTTATGTAAACTACATAATGTAAAACGCTAAACATCCGCTTGTATAGCTTTGCACTGGAAACAAACGAAACACTATGCAAGTAAGCTAAATTAAATTTATAAGTGGAATTGTTTGGTTTCGCAATTAAGAAAGAATTTTCCCCATATTTTCGATCCCAGTTCTCTTACGTAAAAAAAATTGCCAAAAGTAAATTAATAACGTTTGTTTACTTTTGGGGACGTTATAAAGTGACGGTCAATCCCACTATTCGTTAGTAAAAGAGTAGCCCAAGAGTTGGCGGTGGGTGGTGATGACTAGCTGCCTTCCCTCTATTCTTACACTGCTAAATTAGGGACGGCTAGCGCAGGTAGCCCTCGTGTAGCTTTGCGTGAAATCCATAACAGACAAACAATCTTTTGTTATTAATACTCATCACTGAGTAGCAAGCACTGTACCGACTCTGTAAGAAAAAAAAAGAAATATTTCTCTGTCTAATATTCTAACATTAATTTCTTTGGAAAAAAACAAGTTCATATTTGAATAATCCAATGTCCATCCCGAATACCAGATGCCAAATTCACAAAGACTTTTTCAATTATTTCTTTTAGCGAGTGTCATTAAAATATATTGATTCCAATTCTCTTCACCTTATTGGTGAAAAGATCTCGTGGTTCTAGACGCGCATCACGTTCAGAGACTACTCGTGTATGCAAGTATTTTGAGTGGAGCGCAAGCCTTCAGACTGACAGATCGAGGCGCGAGAGTCAGAGCACGAGCTACAGTAAACATCGCTGAACCACTTAACGAATCTCGCAGTCCTGCTATCTTGGTAATCAAGTTGTAAGTGAAGTGAAGAAATCGTCACATTTCAACTGGTAAAAAAAAAAGGTAATTTTAATTCTTGCTTAATTTAATTTAACTTCATTTTTAAATTCGTATAAATTATGTTTGTATATTAAGATATAACTAGACTGTTGGTACTTTAGCCTTTATAGCTTCCAATTGCGTAAATTTACAGTTTGTAAATGACGTACCCAAGATACCACACGAAGGTCTCGATGATGTCTATTAAAAGTAATTATATATTCTGTAAAATACTTTTACTCGGGTATGTGAATGAGGAAGCATTTTTGTTGGTAGAGAAGGTTTTAGTGCTAGTTAACCGAGTGAAGGCTTACGTAGTATAAATGTATCAAGTAGAAACACAAAAGTACGTATGGACGGTTTTAGGACAAAGATTGACAGAGACCAAAAAAAACAGTCCACATGTAGTTCCTATCCACAAGAATCTGCTTGAGCCACTAGGAGGATTCACTGGTAACTTTGTTTAAGCCTGATTCGTGTAAATAAGGTAATTTTGATTAAAACAGAAAATAAATCTGATTTACGATACTCGGTAATAAACACCGTGTGTTTATATATAAACGTATGTATATATATGTGTATGTGTATGCATTACTGGCAGTGTAATAATTTAGTAATTGTGTAAAGATGCAAACTGTTTGTCTTCTAGACTTGGTCCTTAATGGTTAAAAGTTGGGGTTTTGTGCAGATATATTCGGCTCTAACTATTTCACTTCTATAGATTCATATACACCCCCCCCCCCTAGACCACTGGTATGTGAGTTTTGTACCACCATGAAAAAAGAGTATTCCCATTTATAGTTTCCATAATTTACCAGTTTCATGTTTCAGATATGTAATGAAATACTAAAACATGTGTTGTTTTTTGTTGTTGTTGTTGTTGTGTGTATCCTGGCTCTGGGAGGGATGTTCATATAAAGAGTTCGTAATAAATCACTGCCAACGATCCCTTTTTCTTAGACATGTAACTTATAAGTATAGCCGAATAATAGTTGAAACAGAACTAAGGTAATTTTAAAGTACGATTTAAATTAGAACCTGATGATATTGAATATTAAAACTGAAGAACAGGTTGGAAAAATTGAGCCTAACACATATATCAAAACA